TCCCCACACACAAACCCCTCAGTGACCACACTTACACATGGTTCAGCTACCCCTACCTGTCCCCAAATTCTCTGTCCCAACAGCCACCAGCATAGATTTCCCTCTAAAACTTCCTTTTCAATAACCTAAACGCTCCCATCTGCACAATCCCCAGGTGCTCACCCACCCCAAATCACTCCACAAACAGTATCTACATCTTCCAATCCTCATCAACTGTGTCCACTTGCAAAAGAATATATCTACCCTTCCCATACCTACCCCTACCCCACACACCCAATACTTGCTGACTTGCATGCATATGTAAGCTCCCCCACCCTTACACAACTTCCTCTATGCCTACAGCCATACTCCTACACTACAGCCTACTGCTATACTCCTCCGTATAGCCAGCCCTCCCACTGCCTCTGCTTCCTACACCTGACAGCAGCCCACCTCCATAGGGCCTATACATAAGTATAGCCCATTTCTCTACTAACATGCCCTCACCCACCCCTCCTCACACCACACTCACATCTTATACCTCAACCCCCCTTCATACAATCTCGCTCCTCTTACCCAGTCCTGAATTCATACTGACCTCCCCCAATACATACAACTTTAAAGCCATCCCTTTCATCACACTTTGCCCCCATATACCTGACATTCCCCCATACCACATACTTTTCCCCCGCATATGTTCCTTACCTCTCCCCTCTCCACACATGCATCTTTTTCCTCTTCTGTCCAAGCCCCTTATGCATCTAATACCCACATTTCACTCCTTGCACACCCAGGACTTTCTACTGCGCTTTGCTTTCCCTCCTCCCTCAACGTTTCTCATTTCCACACCCCATCTCTCCTCTCAAACTATGCCTTGGCTTTGTGCACCTCACTTGCCCTTCACATGAATCCCACACATCCCCTCACCTACAGCTGCTTTACATCCCCCCGCCTCCTGTCCTATATACACATTCCTCATCCACACTTGATCTTTATCCTCTCTTCACATTTCATCTCGCCCACATAATCCCCATTAGCTCACACCCCTTTCTTATTCCTACTTACACCTTTTACCCCATCCCTACACCTCCCCCACAACCACACACTAAAACTTCTCCTGGCTTCACCAGCCTCCGGACCTCCTTCCCCACACACCTCTTCAGTTCCCTTCCTCTTCCCCCATCATTCACACCATTTCCACGCCACTCTAACTCAACTCCCTGAGGTGCTTTCTCCTTTCACAGGGTCTCCCTCTTCCATACATAGACACCTTCCCCACAGATGTGGGCTCCTGCCTGACAGTACCCTATGCCCTCACTTACCCCACTTACCCCAGGCAGGCCTTAGCTACCTATCCTCCCCAAACATACAGCCTGGTGCCTTTCTTCTCCTCCATCCACAGGTACTGTAGCAGAGGCATGAGACCTCCCATCTCTCCTCCCACTCTCCTATGTCAAATGTACAGATCATAACAACTTCACACTCCCAAACCCTGCCCCCAGCCCTCATCCTTTCTCCTCTCACTCCCATGTGCTTACTTCCCTTTAAGGTCTCCCTAACATGCCCCTGACTTCCATCCACCCATATTCACAGCCAAACCCACCTTGCATCCCTCATCTGTCATCTGCACCAGCCACACAGCCCTTCCTCTCCTGGCACATCTCTTTCACCCCTTTACACACACACACACACACACACACACACACACACAACACAGACATTAAATATTAACCCACTTATCTGCATATGTATTGAACTACTGATTCTATTTTCAGAAAAGCTGGACAAAAAAAATTGTATGAATTAAAACAAGGAGGGCTAGCATTTGGCAAATGGCTACAGAGTTGTTTTCAGCCTGTAAATTATTGTAATAAGGCAAGTGTACATTTGTACAAAATACAACATAACATTCCGCACGTTCCCAGCCAGCCTGCTTCCCTCCTCCTCGCATTCCCAGCGCCCCTACTCCTGACACGTGTGTATTCGGGCCCAGCCTGCGTCCCCCGGGCAGCCGGCCTCGCTCCTCACGCGCTCGCTTCGCCGCTGCCTTTGTGCCACACACGCGCGTGGGGGCTGGGCGCAGGGCGCGTTGCCACCTTTCCCAGCCTGTCCCCGTCCATCCTCTGGCCTTTCGGCAGGCGCAGCGGAGGGCGCGCTGCGCACCCCACTCGCGCGCCTCACGGGAGCCTGGCTGCGGAGCGGGCTTTCCCCGTGCGCTCGGGGAAACTGGCAGCCCGCGCCAACCGAGCGGAGCCCGGCTCGCCCATCCCTGCCTCTTCGCGCCGCAACCCACCGGCGCCGCAACCCACCGCTTTCGCAACACAGGAGCCACCGCATGTCCTCAGCTTTCTCTAGGCAGCGTGTACACTGGGCGAGAGACAACGCGCCTGCTTGTTTTCATGATCAGTGACGAGAGAACTGACCGGAAAAATCATTTCCATCAGAAAAATCATTCAGGGGCACCCCCCTTCCACTAACCATTGACTGAGAACAGTTGAGTGCCCCCCCCCCCCAAGGAACCCCTCGTTAGTAAGTGCCTTCCTAACACTTCGGTTCAGCTTCCCATTTCCCTCCGCGCGCCCGCCTGCTACGTTCCTAGAAGGCCCTTCTCAGTGTCAGAATAGGATCCGTGCATTACCCCACGCCAAACGAAAGCATCAGCTCACTCGGCCCCAGATGTGCAGATAATCCTTTGATCTCCAGTCGAGTCCCTTCCAGAAACTGTAGCGGTGAGGTCTGAAGGGACTGGAAGTAGCGTAGCTGGAAAGGTCAGCCGTAGGCTCGCAGGGTCTGGCGCAAGAAGAAGCGCCAGGGAAGTTAGTTACCTGAGGGAGGCGACAGGCATGGTCTGGAAACTGTGAATTCTCACTTTGCCTGTCATGGGCTCTAACTTTCCCTCCGGGAAAGTGTGCTGGAGCGGATTCTTGCCTCCCCTGCACAGGGTTTGCAGCTCTTTTGTTAGATATGACCGAAAGGGCCGCGTTCCCTCTGAAAACACTTTGTTAGATATGACCGAAAGGGCCGCGTTCCCGCTGAAAACACCCCCCCGAGTCTACTTTGCTTTTGCTGCTTGACTCGGATTCCTTTCGCACCTCACATTTCCCCCCTGCCTGGGATCTCCGCTGCCGAACAACGAGACAGGAGTCTTCAGACTAAAGCCAGGTCTGCGGGCGAGCGCACTGCCCCAGGTTCTGGAGATTGGGGCAGATCTACTTAAACAACCCCTCTTCCCCCCCCCCCTTCCCCAGCCTGCAGGTAAATGTCATATTTCCCTTACCGTGGCAGGAGTAACCATGGCATCCGTGTGAATGTTTCCAGGAAAGTCGACATGAAGAGAGAGGTTGATGTAAATATGTTCATTCAAAGTCCCCAAGTTGGTTTGCTTGGGCTGTGCAGAGTTGCTCTATGGGAGAGGAGCCTTCCCCTCTTCCCCCCCCCCCTTCCCCAGCCTGCAGGTAAATGTCATATTTCCCTTACCGTGGCAGGAGTAACCATGGCATCCGTGTGAATGTTTCCAGGAAAGTCGACATGAAGAGAGAGGTTGATGTAAATATGTTCATTCAAAGTCCCCAAGTTGGTTTGCTTGGGCTGTGCAGAGTTGCTCTATGGGAGAGGAGCCTTAAACTCTGAGTCCCGTGAACATAATCTGCTCGATTATAACAAACCAGCTCAGCCAGATGGCTCTGTGCTCTGCGGATTAACCCCTTTATTGCCACACTCTGCCTTCCCTACCTACCCTGACGCAGCCTGGCTGGGAAAGCGAGCGAATGGGGCCCTTTCTGTTTTGCGAACGAACGTGCCCCCATAAAGGTATTTTCCCCCCCGGTGTGTTTTGAAGAAACACAATTTAAAAGCTCCGTTGATCATTTTATCCCCCTCCTGACAGGATCGCCTCCTATTACTAAGAACAGTGTCAGCAGCAGGGAACATTTGACAGAATTCCTTTGTTAAATCATAAACATCTCTTTCTAAATACGATTCTCAGAGGAGAAGCATTTTATAGCCCAAATGTCTGTGTGTTAGCACTGCAATGGTCCACCCTCTCTCCAGCGCGCACACACCCTGGTCAAACTGTCTACATATGTTACTATTCTTACCCACGGTCACAAGTCATGAAAGGGCACACAAAACAGGTGAAAAAGAAAAGCAGGAGGAAGTGCATTCTCATAAGCCCTTCTCCCCCCCCCTTTTATATTTAAATCTAAATTTGGTTGGATAGCATTTTTGTCAGCCAAGTCCCGCCCCCCC